ATGTGAAATTCAATGGAAACGTCAGCTCTACTCATATCATTGTAGGAAAATTTTTCTACCAGTACTTCATCATCATAAAGGAAATTGGGTGAATACATCTCATATTACTAATTTACTGGTAGTCTCGAAACGATACTTAAATGCGTTTATAAGTAGTGTCGCGACTACTAGTAAATCAGTTATGAGATGTATTGATACTAGTTCGTTTAAGGTGATATTAGAAAATGCCTCACCTTCCTTGAAATTCACATCAGCCCTGTGGTCTAAGGACACTCGTGGTTAACGTATCAAGATTACACACTGCACTGTCATGTTTAGAGTTCCACCGGGAGTGGTAATGGGACTTTAGTGTTCCAAAGAGGACGTGGACTGTCTTTAAAATATAAAACACTTGCACTCTACAACTCTAAAGTTAGAGGCCTCGAAATGAAGAGAGGAAAATAGGAAAGAAGGACGAAAACGTAAACAATTTAAACAGGATTTTAGCTACTAGATATACCTTTCCGAATTTTACCATGCCAACTTTTGATTGGAAGACGAGGTGCCAAGCCTCGATTAGTCAACGCTAGATAAAGAGTGAAGATTAGTCATACACTCATGTGATCTCTGTGCCCAAGAGTGTTGCACCATGGCCACAAACGGGATACAGCAAAATTAGACATTTTTATTTGAAGAGTGTAGAGATATGTCACTAGATGACCTAGGCGAGTTCAAAACTCCAGTTCACAAATGGATAAGAACACTTCTTGGGAAAGCAAGGCTATGTGAAATTCGATGGAAACATCAATTCTACCCATATCATTGTGGAAAAATGCAACTACCACTTCTTCTTTATCTCAAATAGCTACCTAGACAGTGCATATTTATTAGCTGATATCACTGCTAATGATAGTAGTGCTTTATATCCCCAGCAAAAACTTTCCAGCTGCTAAGGTGATTTCCTAATAATGGGAAAAGTTGATAAAAATCAATGGCTTGGTCAACTTATGTAAATTTACTCCTGTTAAATATTTATGGGGCCTGGTAAAGTATCATGCTCTGACGATGTATCCCACGTGACGGACGAAAGCTAGGCGCGAATTATTCGGAGTCGCAGGCCAATGGGCCGAGGAGTTATTCAAGCAACTTAACAGCAACAACTCCAAGGAAATTCTCCCTTGGTCTGCCATGAGGCCAATTAAAAATATCACCTAATTACAATTATAAAATAATGATAAGCCATCAATTCCGTGAGAGGCTGTCAATCTACTCGGACCATTAATATTCTCTAGCATCTATCATTGTCGTTTCGGTCACACCTAAGTCCTATCTGAGCCTCATTACTTTGGCATAGTATGAGCTATGACTCTTCGCAGGCCATCCATCAGACGTCAAATTGAGGCCATTCTTCTGGTCACGCTACCTTTACTTACAAGCCCATACGCCTATTTCAAAAACTATCACTGTCTCTTTATATCAGAAACTCCCCGAAATTCGAATTGAAAATCTGTGCCACTGGGCTTTTGTCAGCCCAAATTAGGCCTCAACTCCAGAAACAATAATACTCCCTCGATTATTCCCAGAACATCTGGAATGCCCGTATACATCCTTCTGCTTATTCAGATTCATCGCCTCATCCTCCGTTTTGTCAGATGGAGTCCCACAGGGTTGTATACCTGCGAAGAAGGTTGGAAGGTGCCAACATCAAGTTATTAAGGGATTCTTCGAAACACAGCTTCTCTTCATACCTCACAAATCATGGTGTGCCTTATTAAGTAGACAAGGTTGGGCTATGAGAAGTAAGCAGGATTAAGGTCCGCAAGCTTTCTTGTCGTACTGTCTGGTGGATTTATGTAAAGCGTTATTTCATGCCCTGATGATTTCTGTAACATGGTAAGATGTGTGAATAAGTGTTCGGCACATTGTCTAGTGACAGGGATGAATCAGTGCTGGGCTCTTGCCTCTAATGTGACAGAAATCCCCAGGGTACGAAATAACGCTTTACGGGCATTCCAGATTTCCTGGGAACAATCGCGGGAGTATTATGGTTTCTGGAGTTGAGGCCTAACTTGGGCTGACGAAAGCCCAAAGTGACACAGATTTTCAATTCAAATTTCGAGTAATGGCTGATATAAAGAGACGGCGACAGCTTTTGAAATAAGCGTATGGGCTTGTAAGTACAGGTGGCGTGACGTCTGATAGATAGCCTGCAGAGTCATAGCTCATACTATGCCAAAGTAACGAGGCTCAGAGAGAAAGGGCGCTATTAAGCCCAATTTGGGTGTGACCGAAACGACAATGATGGATGCTAGAGAGCTTTAATGACCCGAGTAGATTGACAGCCTCTTACGAAACTGATGGCTTATCATCATTTTATAATTGTAATTAGACAATCTAGACATTGATATCAGACCAAGGCCGAACCAATTTTATGTAAGTATATTATAAAGTTTGTGAGACTCGCTAATAAGAAATATTAATATCAATGGTCGCAAATGATTGAATATGAAGGGCAAATCCATGATATCGATATAACCGCAAATACACTGTTTCTGCAATATAAGCTTCAGCTATAAATCGCTATGATAGGCTGAGAGTAGTATTGTTATTTTTGGGTCACAATCACCTGCGTTTTCATCTATTGTAAATGTTTATAGAGAGACAGTATATAAAGTGTGGCCATCGTGCTCTAAAAATGCAGTACATCATCATTATAAGTAAGATGGAAAATGTATAGAATAATTCAATCTATAAACATAGTCACCATCATATGCACCGGATACCAACTTTTTTATTCTAATATTGGGATGAAAGTAGTGCCAAGAAGTAAAGCTACTAATTTGTGTGTAATTAGAATCAGATTAAGATGCTGAAGGTATCGTAGACGAATTTTCCTAAAATGATATGAGCGAACCGTTTGCTTTTCAAGCCTCGCTACCCAAACGGAATTTTCATCTTGAGTGGAGTGAAGTTTGGAACTAGCCTAAGTCTCATCAACACCCCTAATAAGACTTAAACCCTGGAAGTACAGTATATAACCTCTACACATTAACCACTACGCCAGATTGACATAAGTACCCTGTTGAGGTTACATACTGTACTATTACGATTCGAGTCCCACCAGGGGTGCTTATGAGACCTAGGCGAGATCAAAACGTCAGTCCATTCTGGATTAGAATACCTTTTGAGAAGCAAGGCCATGTGAAATTCAAAAAACCTAAGGTTTGCTGATAGCAATTAAGGAAAGTTCAACTATCGGTCTTTCATCACCTTAAACAAAATATGGTGAAAACACCTCATATATATGATCAGCTGGTAGTCACGAAAACCCAGTTATAAAGGAAAAATTAATTGACGAATTTTGTTTAGAAGTTAAGAATGATTATTTCCATTTTCGAAGGGAAAGTCGGTTGAAAGGAATATGTGATGTGGTCTCACTGAAAACCGATGGAGGATTGTCGCGTAATGAAGACTGTCGTATTGTGCGAAGAAGTCCTCGGCTCACCGACATGTGACCCAGATGAAACTGTGCTAAACTTTCATCTGTACTGTGACAGATATCAGCAGAGCAAGATTTCATACTTTACGAAATAGAGCAAAAATATGCTAAACCAATAAAGGGTGGCCGGCTGCAACGTTAGTCGCTTTTTTATACACCTAACATTGCGATCTTGATGAGGCCTCGCGTGATACGATTGACTACTTTATCGGGGTGGCAGGAAGGTGAGCCGAGGACTTCTTCGCACAATTCAACAGTCTTCCTTACGCGACAATCCTCCGTCGGTTTCCGGTGAGACCACATCACGAATTCTCTCTAACCAACTTTCACTTTGAAATGGAGAGTCATGCTACAATATTTTCTTCTAAACCCAGTTTTTCTTCATATTTTAAAAAAGATTAGACTCGATATTCAATCACATAAAAAGCATAATCCGAATTGATTAAAGTAATAAACAAAACATAGCGAATAAAATATGGTAAGTAAAACAATACACGCCAACCTGAAGGAATGGGAACCTTGCTGCTAGGACAACAATCGATACCAAGGCTGATTAGAGCTTGAACAAGAAGGCCAGGATGAGCGTCCAAATCTGATGCCTTGATGATAAGTAAAAAAATTAAAAATATTATACCAAGATAAATCGAAATGGACAGCTTGGCTTTTAAGATATGTATTTTAGATGAGAGAATTTTCGAAGCATAAGATGCACTTCTTCTTGTTCGATATATCAGTGATATACTTGTACCTTAAAAAAAATCTTCTTGTATTTTCAAATAGTCGAGGATAAAGCAAGTCTTGATTGCTGGCTGTGAAGCATAATGCTGAGACCAACATAGAATAATATATATAATATATTTTAGCGCTATTTCGTAAAGTATGGATTCTTGCTCTGATGTTCTCCGTCAAAGTATAGACGAAGGCTTAAGACAGATTCATCAGGGTCGCAGGACAGTCAGAAGAGTAAGACTTCTAGTACAATCCAATAGTTTAAACTCGGAGACAATCCTACTTCGGTTTGTGATGAGACCATTTCATGAATTACGTCCAACCAACTTCAGCTTCGAAATAGAAAATCATGTCACAATAGATCACTAAGGAAATCTTCTAAATCCCGTTTTTCTTCGTAGCCTGGACTGAAACTTTAACTTTGGTACACCATCACCCCCTTCACAGAATTAGATTAGGGAAAGTGGGTGCCAAATAAATGCGAATTACAATAATTGCAATTCCCATTTTTATGTGTGGTGTGAAGATTTTATTAAATAAAGTAAAGCAGTATCAGTATTTACCATTTAAGTCGACAACATCATAGCTATTATTCTATATGAAACTGCCTCGAAATTACAAGTAATTACTTTAATAGATAGTTAAAAATCCATATTAGAACGAAAAATAGTGTTCGAGCAAAGACCCAAAAATTTTAGGGCCAACTACATGAGAGTATCCTAAATACTTTTAAATCAAGAATATTATTGTATTGAAATTATTTGACCTTATTTTCGTAACTAGTCCTGAGTCCATAGTATGCACGATAATTTTCAGTCAGACCGTGGACTTGGTACATTCCCAAACGTTTCGTCAGCATCGCCATTGGGCCCTGCCATTCTTTGTACAATTCCTTAAAGAGACAAGTGAAGTCGATCCTTTGACAAATTGTTTTTTAAACACTCATTACCTTCAACAGGAATATCTATGAGCAAATGTTTGGACTACCGATAGTCTATCCACTCTCACCTTTGGAAACTATATACATGGGCAAATTGGAGAAGGAATTTGAGAAGTCTTGTCTATAAGAGACTAGGGCATAAGGTCATAGACTTGGCATTATGGATCGAAGAGCAAGAGACAGGGCAGATACGATTGATAATTGCCTATTAATAGATAAGCTTGATCAAAGAAGTGGTCCATAAAGTGAAAACTTGACCATACCGCAAAATGGTAAGGGAATCTGCAGCGTTAATTTGAGTTCCCATGCTAATTGAGAATCCAGACTTTGGGGGCTTACTCAGTGAGGCTCGCGAATACGTGCTAACAAAGGCTTGAGTCAGAGTGTAGAGCAGAACGCCTTGAGTAGCATTGATAAAATGGTAGA